CCCCACTTTGCAACACTACCGACTTATCGATCCAATAGTCGCGAGTAGGTCAAGGATCTAACGTGATAGATCAAATACCGACTTGACCACAATCTTCCTCTTGCGAGCAAGGGCACAGCATCGTGATGTGGGAAATGGCGGTGTTAGTACGTCCCCCCCGGAAAGGACCAGGATACTCCAGGCTCCCTTCACGACTCTAAATGTTTGCTCTGACGAGAAGGCTTAGATACGTAACGAGTCGCAAGCGCTTACGGCCGCGTTATGATTCCATGGCAAAATAGGCGTGAAGGCAGAATCTGTGGGCCGGTGAAAATCGTGCGCTTTTTTTTCTGGAGGTGATAGGGCTTTTCAAAGTATGGGGCTTTGAGAATAACGGAAGGCCATGGCGGCGATGAGCGTGCTCTACTTTGCGTATTTCTACCGAACTTGGCAATCAGAATCCCTCCGTTAGTGAAATAATTTTCGGTTTTACGGACGCGTTAGTGGTAAATTGAGAGCGGGTCTTTATACTTCAGACGGAATAAATTCTTCCGGACCCAATCTTTTGCAAAACTAAAATTGCCGTCAGAACGCTTAATATTCCCTCTTTCCAAAAAGATCCACAGTTTCTCTGAAGACCCGCTAGTTTAGATGATATTTTAGATGGTCACTATTGGGCGACATTCCGAGACACTCAAGTAGCGCTCGACTCCGCTACCCCATTGTAAGCGATATCCCCTGTGCCATTGTAAGGATACTCATTCGCGAACTTCAATATGCCTTCAAAACACATATTCCCGTTGAACTGAGTCAAAACATAATTTAGTCATCATCGATCAATTTGGTCCGAGTATTACGCTGGCACTGTGCATCACGCTTCTACGCGCCGTGGAGGTAGAAGGTGTAACTTCTGATTTTAGGTGATTTTTATCCAAGTAAGCAGATGTTTGTTTAAGGTTTAGGAAGGCCGATACGCACGAATCTTTTCGAGATGTATTATTTAGTAATCTACGTGCTTACAAGTTCATCTAACTATGATATTGCTAACCAATTGTTTTAATATTTTGTAGTCATCCTTACATCCGAGTCCTCTGCAGCTTTCCCTCTGCTCCATCAACTTAGCTATGACACTTTTGTGCTGTTTGATGCTCACCGACTCTGCGTTCACGACCCCCCTCCCCGGCTGTCAAGTACAACCTTCCCCGATGGGTTCCGCAAAGCGATGCTGTCCCCTATTTTCGACACTCACTATCTGTCCGATGATTCGGAAGCATTTTCAGTCAGAAACTCAACTTGGTCAGGAAGTTCCCGGAAGTGTCTTGATCTCCTGAATAGTATTAATTACCATACGTGTTTGGCGCGAAAATGACCGATTCTCTCGCTACAGGGTACTGTCAAAAAATAGGAATCAACGTGAAAAGTGCCTCGTACCATTGCGCTCAAGGCACGCGTTTTCGAGCTGAATATCGCATACCCAGCTGGAAGTGAACAGTACTTCTGAAAGACAAGATTCGAGGTGTTTTTGTGTTTGTTATGGCTTTGGCTGCCAAGCCGCCATACTGAGCAACAGGTTGCAGGCGTTTTCTCGCCAAACAGAAGAGTATTCAGGAGGTCGAAATCCCTCAGGAATAAGTTTTTGACCAAGTTGAGATTGTGGAACAAGCTCTGAATTATCGAATAGGTAGCAAGGGTCGCAAGGGGAAGATAGTGACCAACTCAATATCGATCTACCACGTCAGATCGTTGACCTACTTGCTCTACTGGTCGCTAGCTGGGATTAATGACAAAAATTGAGTGAAAGCTTTGATCGGAAACAAGGCAAAAGTGGGGAGAAAACCCAAGTGCTCCTGGGAAGCGAGACCGTAACAAGTAGAACACAGCTTGCACGGTATCCCACGGCGCAGCAGTGCCCGCATGCCAACACTGCGTTTATTGCAATTTTTGACCACCCGGAATTCGTCTGGGAGATCCCCAAAGCACTTTTGACCTGCATATTTGCAATCAGTATTCGACTGTCAGATACCAAGACCCCTATTCGAAGCTCCGTATGAACTTGAAGCCATTCCTTTGTTAATCGCGAAATAAGATAATCGCGAAGTAGGCCTTGAAGATGATAGGTATGCTGTTATATGTGTCACAGACTTCTATTCTTAATTCTGCCCTCCAAATCTGCTGAACGATTCTTCGAAAAGATTCAGCAGACTGGTAATTTCCTTCCCGCCAGCACTTCCATGCAAGCTATCTATTGGCTGCGCTCCTATATTCTGCGCAAAAATGGAGCTGATCAGTAACTGACGAAATTTAGTGGTCTTGGAGTCGTTTCCAACCGAACTAGCGTTTCAGTTTGCTTCAGAAACGAGCCTAAGAAACCCACGAACATCCCTACGTCACCGATGCGTACTTGGACTTATCTGTAGGGTTTGTGAGCTCCTCTTACCATCAGGTGGCCATAGCGACCTGTGGTCCCTACCATTCCTTCATGCTGCTACCATCAGCAATAATAATATTGGATGTCTCCTGGTCACACCACAGTTCAACCAGTCGCGCTGGGGTATTGCCAGCTGCGGAGCCTTGGCTTCGTTTAACGGAGACAATGCAGTTGGCTCCACACAATGAAGAGCGATGTGAACTGTGAGCTCGGTTGCACCCTTCTCCGCGAAACCATAATTTTGCTCTCAGTGAGGTGTCTTGGGAACGGGAAGGATGTGGCTGCGTACTTCATTTGAACATGGCGTGGGATTCGTTCCCGTTGGAATCGTTTCATATGAGGCAACTGTCATCCTGCCTTGTGCTGGACATAGACGTTATCACAATTGTCCTACAAACCGGCAGTTCCCCTTCAAAAGTGCGGCTGGCGCCGCGTCTAAACGAGATACGCAGCCACGCCCTCGCCATATTTGGATATGAGAGGTAGCTCTTCCCCAATCAACTAAGCTAGCAACAACTGGTGGAAAGGTCTGCCCTGGGTTTGCTTCAATCCGTACCCCTTTACACACCCTGTTTGCAGGAACAATGACTATATTGCCCAAAATCAAGGATCGCAAAGGGCTTCTGAATGCGATGTGAGTTTGGTACAACCGTCCCCATAGGGTAGGCGAGGCTACGTTGATATTGGACGGGGTCCCGTCCTGGATTTTCACTGCCAAACCATGCTCATTGCCAACGCCTTTAGGCGCTACACCAGCTCCATCTCCACTCCCCACCCCTCTTTCCCTTCCAAAAAGAGGAATATCGTTCAACAATGCGAATCCCTCTACAGTGCACCTCCAAAGTTCCAACTCTCCCAAACTATTTATTTCCGCATAAAATGATTTAACAACAAATAACTAGTAACTGAACGGAGTAACAAATCAATGAAATACATGGCAGGTAAAATTTACGGATAACAATGTCAGAAACACAATAATTCAAATACCCTAAAATCTTCATCAAGCAACTAGTTTCAGGAAAAATTCACGACAAAATGTCCGGACAAAATGTCAGACAAAAATAACACTGTGCTTTGGTTCTTATCAACGACTATCAAATAGACGTATCATTGATATTACTGGCCCTTCTCCTCTTTCAACTCGACTTCTTACACATTTTCGGTTTCTATCGATGACCATGTTTACAACCCCATAACGACAGTACTGCGAGTTCATTACAAAGCAACCCCTCACCTCCCACCCTCCCGACCAACAAGGTTCTCGGTTCGAACTTTTCTCATAGCGCTTAACGACGTGGTCGTCTTCATCTCAACTCTGAACGCTGCCTCGGCACAGTCCGACGGGGAGGGGCATTTTTGCATTTTCGCTACTTCCCTTTGTCGTGCTAAGCCAAGTAATACCAGCTAAAGTTAGTGAAACTACTGGTAAACTCTTATAAAGCACGACAGG